GATCCTAAGGTTAGTAACTTTCCATTAACCATAGTATTATTTTCACCATTTTCAGGATTTTATTATAAAAAGTAATTTTAACCCACAATCGCTACTCTTCATGTTACCATGACAACATGACATTGTCACAAATTATTAAGCTATTTGATTGATATTAGCAAAAGGTTTTTGATTGACAAGGACAAGAGAGACATATAACGTATATTAGAGGAGAGAGCATAAATTTTTGAGTGTCTGAATGTAAATTTTATTATTCATTGTCCCGACGAGGCCTTATTTGTGTCGCTCTCAACACATTTGCTTCGCATTGCAAACAAATCTTGCCTACATCTATTTATCGAGACATTCACCTGATGATGGGCCATATTCTTAAAAAAAAAAGACTAGAACTACGTACATTAGAACTATGACAGCCGCCTATTAAAGCTAGGGCTTACTATTTTAATAAGCCTTATTTTTTATTAATATTCAAATTTGAAAAACACAAAAGAGCACGTGAAAGTAAATGCTCTCAGTTCCATTTGACACTAGTCGATGTCCTTATCCTTACCAACTTTGGTGTTAGTTTCATCCAAGAGATTCGATGCTGTTTTTTCCAATTCACTCAAGCAATGCGAGAGGAAATAATAGGTAGAGCTGAAAGAAATGCTTCCAGCAATAGCACTTCCTACGAATGGAATGAATCTAGCAGCTTCTTCAGCTGCAGAATTGAAAGCGACAAGTGTGAAAATCTTTGCAAGTTCCACCGCGTTTGTGAAATAAAATTTGAGGATTATTTCCTTGTTTTCTTTAGACATTTTTTGAAACTCGTAAGATGCTTCCTCGGGTAGGCTAAGCTGAGATTTGTAGAAATCCACTACGTATGTTAACAATCTGAAATCCACCACAATAGACAACCCAGGCAGTGGAATTACCGCAGCAGCAGCGGAAACGGCTGCGACCATCCATATTCGACCTGAAACGAATTAGAGTATTGGAAAAAATGCCAAAAATAATAAAAAACAGCTTTCCGTACACCATCCTGCCTTTCAGTATGGCTTTCAACTGATATTAAAAACAAGAGAATTATTCCGTGCTTTAATCCAACCTGCGCAAATTTAAGAACAATCGGTTAATCGGTTTAAAAAATGACTTTAATTTAATGCTAATTAGTTTTCTCGCAAAGTGTTTTACTTGACAACGTGTTTAATTTGAAAGATTTTTCCTGACGACAGATATCTTTCTAAGCTACAAGGAAATGTAAAAACATTTTGAAATTTATAGAGTTCTAGGGCATGCTGTAACCTTAAAGTCCATATGACACAAAACTTTATGTTGTTTTAGACGAAATAACTTCATACCATATTCACTTTAAAGGTCATGGAAGTGAGTTCAAATTAGTCTTGACAAATCGTTACTGCACAAAATGTTAAGTTCTCTCTATGATTACCTCGAAGTATTTCAACTTTTCGATTCAAAATATCCTTGGAGTGGCTTGTTAACACGTCTATAGTCAGCGTTAGACTTTCCTTTTGGTCATGTGGCAAGACATCCAGAATGGCCTGTGTGAGACGAGCGAAATCCCACTTGGCTGGGTGATGATTACTGATGAGAAACACAACTTCCTCGTTGGCTCCAAAGCTTTTCAGACAATCTTTTCTGATGTCGTTCAACGTTGCTTCTGGATTAAATGCTTTCTTTTGGACGATACGTTTTGGACGTCCACATCGATCATGGTGCGTACCAAAAAGAACGACTTTTTCAAGGATTTTACTGTTTCGGCTAACAACAGATCATTTTCAGTGAAGCGCCTAGCGGCTAAGATAAGGAAGGTATCGTACTTTTCCAAGCCGACTTTCTCACTGTAGGTTTTAGCGGGATAGTCAGGTGTACTTGCAATTATCAATCGTTTTAGTTGTTATTAGCTCTCCTGCACTTGAGTGCTTAAGCGCTATTCCCACAGCAGATAATAAGGTTAATCTTAAAATGTCATTCTGTTCAACTTAAATGCTTACCATTTGTCGTGAGAGTATGATGTAATGGGGGGGGGGGGGGGCTGAATGTTGAACATGACATCAAAAGGTGCTAAATGCTTAACATGATATGGCTTTATGGTAGAAGATATATACTTAAACACTATACGTGCTTCCTATATGGTGTGACAGCAGTGTACCACTTGTGAATAAACACAATATGAAGCTGGTTTTGTTGGAAATTGTCAAATGATAAGCCTATTGTTAAGTGTTAACTAACTATAACATAAAATGATCAACTTGGTGTTAAGGTCTTACATGCACAATTAGTATAATTATTATTTATTGTACTCTTTAATTTTCTCGTTTTTCCGATTGGCTAAAAGCCTACAAATAATTTTAGGTGTTTGTAGGTGCCCGCGCTATTTTCAGCGGAAACTGTAATATGTAGAGGTTATTGGATGGAGCGACATATTTCAGCGGTGCTTTGTGTGAATATGGTGTGAAATTAAAAGTTGGCGGGAAATTTTATGAAAAGTTGATTAATTCAATAAATTTTTATTTGTTTTTAATTTTGGTTTGTTTTATTTGTTACTGCCACAGAATAAATAATAAAACAACCTTTCGACTTTCACTTCTGACGTCCATTTCGATCTTTGTACGTAATAAAAAGAACGACTTTGTCATCGATTTCGCTTTTTCGGCTAATAGCAGATCGTTTTCAGTAAAGCGGACAGCGGCTAAGATATGGAAGGTGTCGTAATTTGTCACTGTAAGTGTCAGTGGGGTAGTTTGGAGTACCTGCAATTATTAGTTCGTTGAGGTGTTATCAAAGTGGTTAGTACTGCACGTGCCTTACACCGTTCCATTCCCTGCCTCGTACCCAGGCGCTATGTGTTGTTCTACGGCTTGCGTGACCTTTGCGTGGGCCGCGTGGACTAAAACCAAAGCGCCGGGGTACGAGGCAGGTTCCATTCCTGTAATATGGAGTTGTTTGGTAATAATGTCGTCTTGATAACAATCACTGTGAATACTACTGCTACCACGTTGAAAACTGCAGATATTAGAAAACCTCCATCGTCATCGCCACCATAACATCACCACCAACATCTTCGTCACAACCATAATTCCATTACTACAATCAGCACCATTACCACTCTCATGGCCGTTACCATAATCACCACCATTATCATAACCACCATTATCATAACCACTATCCCCACCTTTACCGCTCTCACTGGAAAAACATACTATGCCGTTACTAGCGAGGAAACGTGAACTAAACCAACTTTCCGTGGCTGCGGAACAGGGGGGCCAGGGGGCTTTAGCCCCCCCCCCAGAAGTAAAAGTGGAGGGGCTTAGCCCCCCTTTCCCCAAAATACATGAAGAATGCCAGAATGGGAGACCATTTATTCAAACTACGAAGTCGTCAAATTACTGCTCGCCGGCTAAAATGGAAAAGAAAATATCCTACTTTGTGATCAAGTGAATGTAAATTGATTTTCTTTCACTCTGAGAATATATCTTTGATTATAAAGTAAATACTACAACTTCAGAGTGTTGGCCTTGCGAAATGGGACAAATAAAAGTTAAGTGAAGAAATTTCATTTCCTAATGGGTGATTCGAGCTATAGACAAAATTTTGATCAAAGCAAGAATAACGAAATCCAACACCACAGCTACAAAGAACGTCTTAGAATGATTGGTTGCTAAATGTAATAAAATGAAGAAAATATAGCCCTGTGAAGTTCTTGTAATTTTGTATATATTTGTATTACGCGCGGTAAAATAACCACTTTAATTCGGCTCAAAAATGGTTATTTTTCCCGCGCGTAATGCAAATACAGTCTATACAAAATTTGCGAACTTCACAGGGCTATATATTTTCCTTATTTTTACAACAATTCGCAACCAAACTTTATTCGCAACCGAACTTTGCATATTTGCTCATTTTAAGATGCTCTTTCCATGCAGCTATGGACGATTTCGAATAGAACACAGAATAAGAACTTCTGATGCAATCATTGCATTTATCTTGTGTTTGTGCTCTTTGTGTCAAAGCGACAGTATGGACTATGGAATACAGTTGTATTTCTGGTTTGGTTAACATTTTTTAAATCATTAAGAGGCAATTTTTTTCAATGTTTGCGTATTTGCAATGAAAAATGTTCAAAACCTAAAATCTTTTTGGCGTTCCTCTCAAAATTACTTTGTTTTAGGCAACTTTATTCTCTACTTTATACAGTTAGCAACTTTTTAAATGCATCTGCCGGTTGAGAAACATAAAATAATAGTTAATAATCGTCAACTAAAATACAATTATCAATGATGCTTTAAAATTGACGCCATATTTACAGCCAAAAAAGCAAAACTTACTGAACTTCAGACATCATCTTCTCTTTGGCGTATCATCTAAAATCTCTTCATTTTAGCATTATTTTACAGATAAAGCACTAAACATATTTTTTAAGTTTGTTTGCCGATTGAGAAACGTATTGAAAAATAAAAATTTTCAATTTAGTCATAACCTCAAGCGGAATATTATACGAATTAGTTTTGAGTTTTTTATAATATTATGTTTTATGTCCAGTCAGACAAAATTTAACACGGCTTATGTGCTGATTGCGCAGATCGTATTGTGATCTTTTCAAGCTTTTATTTCAAGGCTTATACTTGGGATCTATGGCTATGCTATATTTTGAACAATTTTTCAAAGGTAGGAGAAATCACTACACGCTATGCCGTTTGCGGTTTATGTTTCCACTTAGTCAAAATCTACGGTAAACGTTTTAAAAATTTAGCCCCCCCCAAAAAAAAAAAAAATATGTTCCGCCGCCCCTGATAACTTTAGTTATACTGGTTACTACTATCAGTTCTGACTGGTCTTTCTAGAGGAAAAAGAGCCTGTGGTTATCTTCAGAAAGCTAGGTCTCGTACTGATCTAAGTTTACTGTGTCAGACATAACAAAATCATCATCACCACAGTAACATCACCACCAATGCATATCCACCGCCATCATCATTGCGCGATCAACACCACTACACGTTGCACGATCATCACTAGTATCAACACCATCATCACCATCATGTTGATTTTAATGGGAATTGTTGATTTATATTATTTTCCTGACCATCTAAAGAGCAATAGTTTAATTTTTACCCAGCCCCTCTTAGCCTGCGTGGCAGGCCCTAAGCCCCTCTCATTAGACATTAGAGAGTTTGAGCAACACAACGAAGTACGAAGACATACTTGACAATTTTTGCCGTCTGCACGTTATCTTATGCATACTGTGTTGGACGTCACTGGTGGTTCCTCAACGTGTCTTCCCATGTGTCGTTGTTTATGAATACTGCATGACCATAATTCTTGCCCTGATCCAGAAAAAAACAGCGAGACATGAAACTATATCCCGTCTTTGTCCTTCTGCCTTCGTGCAGAACGAAGTTCACAACGAATTTTGCCAAAATATTCGTTGTGAACGAAGGCAGAAGAACGAAGACGGGATATGGATTCATGTCTCGCTGTTTTTTTCTGATCAGGGGAAGGATTTGGGTCAGCATTCATAAATAGCTAGACATGAATCTCTAACCTGTCTTCACTCCTGACCCTAAACTTAGAATACGCAAGATAATGGTCAAGACAGGCAAAAATTGTCAACACGTCATCGTCGTCGGACTTCGTTGTCTTGCTCAAACTCTCTATTATATTCCTGGACCACCACTGTTATAGGTCCAATAGGTTGTCATGAACAACATAATTTGCACTTTCTTACTTTTCTCAGATAGTTTGCATTAAATAAATTGCAAAACATGTGAGATTTGAAGTCTTTCAAAATTTGTGAATTCAGGTTGGCGCCCACCACTTTATACTTATTTATAATTACCGTAAACCTCCGACTATAAGCCCTGGGCTTATATTCTTTCGTAGGCGATTTTTGATGGGCTTATACAAGTGGGGGGGGGTATATACGGGGGGCTTATACATGGACGATTTTTTTTTTAAATAAACGTATTAATAACGCGCTTTGATTAACATAGTAAGCTATAAAGACAATGAGGGGGGCTTATATTCGGGGGAGGGAGGGGTATATTAATTTTGGAATGAGGTGAGCGTTAGTACATGTGGTGAGTATATACAAGGGGCTTATATTCGGAGGTTTACGGTACGTTGGTCCATCTCCCGAAACCACTTTCAAAACTTTTCCCCCTCGCCAATTCTACTGTCCCTTACATTGGTGTGTTAATTATTAGACGAACATCTGGAACACACATACCTATACCAGGTAGATCCCAAAATGTGATCTTAGAGTTGGTAGGATGAGGATACATAGCTGCTTTTGTTGTCGTCTCCTTGACATCGGTCATCGCTGCGCCTTCGTCGTCATCTTCAAGTCTGTTCAAATTTAAACCATAAAATTAATTAACTACATTAATGCAAATCCCTCTTTCGATAATAAAGGACTAATTTCTATTAACTACGGAAGTTGAACCCAGGGATTGAGACAGAAGAAATACATGGACGTCCCACCGCGCGTCATGCTGATGTCAACCATCTGATGTCACTGAACATTTTGATGACGAAT